TTTTTTTTTTTTTTTTTTTTTTTTCCATATTGACGAATAGCTAGCTAGCCAAAATGTCAACAACTGTCTATTGTAACTTATAAAAAAAAGGCCAAGTCAAAGTTGTCTTTTTCGCTGCAGCGAAGAGGATTTAAGAAACATTTTTTATGCGTTTACTATTTGTCAATTATATTTCATTTTAACATTCTGTGCATTTTTTTTTTTTTTTTTGTGTTGCCTTTTTTTTTTGTAACTGTGCTAATTTTTTTAACCTTTTCCGTGCACAACTCTGTAGTTGCGTCTGCTGTCCTCTTCGTAGGTGTACATTTAAAAGTTGTCTTTTTGTCTGGACAAGAGTTCCACCCACTGCGCTACGCAAACCGTACAACAGTTACCGGCTCGTCATCCCCCTTATTCTTTGTCGTGTAGCAAAAATGGTCACGCTGAACAGCACAGACCCCCAAGTTGTGATCGAATCATCAGGAGTACCGACCATACGAACAAGTAGCACCACCACCCCCGTGGTGATAACAACGCCCCTAGGAAAAAATATGTATAGCAGCTATTCATACAGTAACCCAATCTCGAGTTCGTACACTTCTTCTCACCACAATGCGTGTGAATACAACTGGGAGAGGGTGTCCACCAAGCCATCACATGGCACCCAGCACAGCGAGTATGTAAAAACGTTTGAGGTGCCCACAGGGCTGTACTACGAAGCGATGCCCTTAAAAAGGAACACAAACAATATTTTTGAAGTAACTCCGTCGAAGGAAGAATTAAACAAAATAAATTATAATCCCAGGATAGAGGTCTACTCCACTTGCAACTTTGTAATTATAATGATGGACTTACCAGGGGTGTGTAAAGAAAATTTAAAAGTCGAGTTAGAAAATGGGGTGTTAAAAATATTCGGCCACAAGTACAAAGCACCATTGGAGGAACTACAGACGGAACATGAATACCACACGAAAATAATTGAAAGAGTGGGCGAGTACTATTTTTGCAAGATGTTTCAGATGCCTCCAGTTTTTTCCGACGGGCAAAGTATATCCTGCACGTTGCGCGACGGCGAGCTGACTCTGAAAATGTTGGCCTCCGAGTTACGGGCCCATAAGAGAGTTGTCGAGGTGCAGTCTTAGAGGCGACAGTTAGGCGCACCAGCATACGTAAGCGAATGCACACATCCATGTGTAACCAGCATGAAGGGGCATTTTTGTTTTTTTCCTACACAAAAAAGGCTACACCTGTTTTACATACACCTTCACCCTTTTGGCATACCCATGTGCGTGCCCTTTTTTTTTTTTCATGTTCACTTTGAGGACGATTTTGTTTTGCATCCCATATCCCCCCTTTTCACGGGTCGACGCTCATTCGGCTGAGCTAGCCCAAACAGCAAACATAGAACAAAAAAACAAACCATTTTGAAAGAAGTCTGTAGTGTGCGAGTTTTCACAGAGGATGCACATGAAGCAGTGCAGGTGGACGGGTACATGGTTAAAAAAAAAAAAAAAAAAAAGATGTAGGGCCGGGCGACACTCGCGATGATACCCTGTTACTGCAGAGTAAAGCACACCATACCCAGCCTCATTCCAAATTTACCCCTCGTTCATCGGTGCCCATTTCACTGTGAACCGTTCCGAGTTCACCAGACTGTGCAACAGAATTCTTTTCCTGAGCAAATTAAACTTGTCTCGAATTAGTTGGTGCTTCTGATAGCACAGCTGGATGTCCTTCACCAAGCTGGTATTCCTTTCAATCAACGCTTTGCTCATATTTTGAATAGACGCATGGGACTTGATAAAATGTATAATGTCCACTCCTAGCGAATGTATAATCCTTTTTTTAATTTTTTCAAATTTATTTTCATAGTAAAAATTCAAATCCAGCAAGAAGTAGTACACATGCACGACCTGTTCAAGGAAATTAATTTTTCCTTTTATATCGCTGGGACGAGAATCTAAGTTGATTTTTTTTTTTGTTAAAAAATAATCCTTTACATGTATGTAATCATTTTTTACTTTGATTAGTTTTTTGATCAACGTGGTACAGGGTACATTATCGTATTTTTTCGAATCTCCCTTAAGGACATGCACCTTAATGTCGTTTATGAGTTTCTCTGGGTTCACTTGTTCGATGGTACTTCCAAAACTGAAGTTATATTTTTTGCAAGCAGCGAGACCGCTTTCTTCACCCGTTACATTTCTTATGTGAATGTCTTTGCCGTCCCCATTTTCATTACTGTGTAATATTACGAATACATGTTTTAAAAAATCAATCTCTTCTGTGTTGTGTTCCCCTACGTGGTTGCTGCCACTGGAGTAGGGCAATCGCGGGGAAGAGTTTGCACCAACGTTGCCGCTATACATATGGGTCATCATTTTCGTGGACTCCATTTTATGCACACCGCTTCTCAACATACTACTACCTGCCCCCTTTGCACGCGCGTCACGATTAAGGAGCATGTTGCAGATGGCCCCCTTTCCTTGGTAAAAAATGAAATTCTTCTTTATCATGGAGTTCATATAATCATTGCAGCGTGAATTCACATAAAGAGAAAGCATGTTTGCATACATGTTCAAATCTATCGAGTCGTCATCCACCACTTCGGTGTTGATATAAAAATTTCTTAGTCTTGCTTGTCCAGGGATGTGGCATAGCGCTTTGCATTTTTTCTTCTCCCTTAGTAGCAAATGGGTTTCGTTTGTTCCCTCTGAATTGAGATTTGTGTTTCCCGGCCTGCTGATTATCTTCAACTTGAAGCAATCATATACGAGGAACAAATTTTTATACAGTGAGGAGGTGAAGAAGCTAATGTTCCCGCTCATGAATAGTTTTTCTTTTCTCTGGCTGTCCAGATTTATGTAGTGGGTGAAGATCAAGTATACGTCACTGGAGGGGTGGGTCCCCTGGGAGATGCTGCTGTTGCTCTTGCTCTTCCTGCCGCTACCGCTGCTACTGCTTTCTTGCACGACTACGGGGTGAAGAACGTACTGCACATCGTAGAGGATTTTTGACTGCAGGCGGTCAAAGTTGTCTGGACCTTGCTCCCACTGGATAGCGGCGTCACGCGTTGCGCTATTGTCCCCGGCGAAGAGCCCCGCGAAGGTACCCTGGTTCAAGCGCTTCGTATGGTCCAACAGCAGATACGTGTAGTAGTCAAATTGGTAAAAGCTAATGGCCGCCTTATAAACGGTGTTGCTCATGTAAAGTCCATTTTTGCACATTTCGTGAATCAACTTGGCGCACAAAATGTTTTTCAAATGGATGAGGTAAAATATTACGCTCACAAATTTTACCCACACTAAGTGGAGATGCACAACCTTGTCATTGTTGAAACAAAGCATGTTGTGGCTGTTCAGGACAATCGTTTTCACATTACTCATTCCTGTGTAGTATGCATCAAAGTACAGTACAGATAGAGGTTGAAGCTGTAAATTTACTTCTTCGTTTATTTGCTTTTCTACAATGTCCTTGTTATCTTCGTAACAGGAGAAGAAATCATCATCCCGTTCGGTGATGTCTTCATCAGAGGTGTATGCTGATCCGGGGGAATGCTTATGCTTCCCCTTCTCATTAAGGTTACTCTTTTTGGTGAACCTTTCTTTGAATAGAGATTTCTTCTGCGTCTTTGGGGTCGTCAGTTTGATGGAGTCAATTTTTATCTCCCCTAAGTTTTCTCCTTTGTGGTGCTGATCATTGGGGGAGTCCGTCCGGAGAACGGTGCCATCACCATTGTCATCCTCACCCCCCTGTGTGTAGGCCACCTCCATATGCGCGCATTCCCTGGCTGTACCCCTCTGAGACATTTTCCCCATGAGGGAAGCCATCTCGTAGCTGCCATTCTTCACACGACGATAGTACTCATCGTATTTATCTCGGTTAATCAAATTGGCCAAATCGGCTGAAGTCAAATTTTCGAAAATAGCATTATCCTTCAAATTAAAAATGTTAAAGAAAAAAGATTGTTTTTTTTTCTTCATGGACAAAAAGTTCATCGTTTTCTTCCATGTTTTTCCACTGTCGGTTTCGCTCTGCCCAGGGGTGGGGATGACGATGTGGGGAGTAATAAAATAGTTTAGCAGGACGAAGAAGACGTACCCGAACTTGTCCGTCACGACCATGAACACAAGGTGGTTGTAGTAGAGCATGGTGATGCTGCGGTAGGTGGATTTCCTCAGGCAGTTGACCACGTAGGGAACGTAGGAAAAGGCGGCCCGGGCGCGGCGATCATATCTACGACAACGACGACCACGAACACTGCCACTGACGCTCCCTTCACTTCCCTGCGCATCACCGCGGCTTCTGGAAGTGGCCCCGCCCCGAGCATGCTGCACCCCACGATTGAAAGTCACCCAGACGTCCTTCTCCCTGTACTCCCTCACGGAGACCCCTCGGAAGTGATCATAGTGCGTGAGGAAATCCTCCACATACTCCTCATCGCGCCCTTCACCATCCCCGCGCTGTACATCGGCAGGCTCCCCATTGGTGCCCCCACCTTTTTCCACCACCCTCTGCCCAATCCTGTTCAACTCATACATTAGAAAGTAGCTGACGTACCACTCATTCGTGATGATCGGGGTGTATATTAATATGAGTCCATCTTTTAAAAGAACAAAGAGGCAGGTTTCTATCCAGGGGATATTTTCACTGGGGGCACCAAAGCAGTAATCTACTACAAGATTTTTGTACTTGTTTTTTTTAGCTAGCTTTTTCTTTTCTTCCTTGCTTAAGACATGGTCAGAGGCGAGATCAGTCTTACTTCTTGGTGATACCACATCTAAATCGTTACTTATTGGATGGTTGCTAGGGGATTTTTTGTCCATCCCATCCGTGTTTCCTTCCCCCATATTGGTGTGTCTGTCCTGGTCATTTTGCCCTTGTACGTAATTTACTTTATCGTTATTGGGGGAAGCTTCTTGTACCCTTTGTAGGTTGTTACCATGGTGTTGGTGTGGAAGGCTCCTCTTGTTCATCTCTTCAGTGCCACTTTGACCAGACGTTGCATCTCGCAAGTGGAGAGAAATATTGATCGTTTCCATTTTGTACAGCTCCTTCTTTATGTCTTCCAAGTTTTCATTTTTTAACTTTCGTCGGATAACATCCATGTCTGGAACGACGATTTTTACTTCCTCCTTGATTTTGCCCTCTACATTAATTAGGCGAATTACAGATTTAAATTTAAAAGAGTACAATGTAGATGTGTCCACTTGTTCATATGTCAATAGGGACACTACATGATCCGATTTATGAAACCATTCTGCTTTAATAATTTTTCTCTTCGATGGAATGGTTAAATGTTTATTGTGTAATAGGTACTCCCCTCTAATGGAACCTTTTTTTTTTTTTTTTTTTTTTTTCTTCTTTTCTTATGAGGATAAGTTCCTTGCTTGAGAGAATAAATATGTCCTCTTCATTTTGGTCGACATGGATCTGAACATAAAACCCATCCACTTCCACGTCATAGTTGGGAATTTCCACCGTCATTTCTTCGTATGAACAGGGGGCATTACGCTGTCCATGTTGATGTGTCCCTATAATGACGTAGCTGATTGGGACGTGGGGTCGCTTGCAAGTTGGTCCTCTTGCCTTGTTTAGTTCACCCTCTTGCTCACTGAGGTTGTCTGCTCTTTTCAAATTTCCCTTCCGAGGCGCTGCGTCATCCTGGCCTAACTTTTCACACCACTGCCTTAGGATGAAGTACGCGGTGCTGTGGCCCCGCCCGCTCTTTCTGTTGCAAGTGGGTAGAATTTCGACAAGGTTGCCATGGGGGCAAGGGGGGCTATCGCCCCCACCGCCAACCTCCCCTTCAACTGCGCTGGTAGACGCATCGGCCACAGATGATCCCCGCCTGACGTGGCAAAACTTCAGATCCAGGAGGTGATCATACTTCTTCTTCTTAATCAGGTAGGTCTCCTCGAAGGGGGCATTTTTCTGCACGCAGCTAATTCTACTCTGGTTAATAGCCAGAAGGGCTCTCTCTAGCACGTTCTCCGAAGAGCCATGTGGATGCTGTTGTGTCATTTTTTACATAGGCTGTGTTCAACAAGGTGGGAAGGAGGGGCCGCGTAATCCCAAACCTACTCCGGGGTTACCCCTCCTGATATTTACGTAACTTATTCTGTGCCCAAAGGAACCTGTGCGAGGGAAGACGCGGACCGCTGAGAAGGCTATACCTGGACACGGCTGCGTAAGCGTCCTCTCATTTGCGCCTCATAACGGCTACTTCTTAAAGGTGGGCGAAACATAAAGCCAATGTGTTGGGCTACACGTACATAAAGACCCTTCCAATGGGCAGTGGTGGAGGTGCCAAAATAACGCAAAAAAGTGTTGGTACCATGTACGTTTTCTTTTAACGGTGCAGAGGCTCACTACGCGCATAAGTCGTTCGCAGAGATGTAAGCATGACGTCAAAATGTGTACATGTAAGTATACGTTCGTGCGTGGGCAGGCAGGTAAGCTGTAGGGCAAGCTGGAATTACACTCCACCGACCTTAGTGTGACAAAACTTGTTCACCTCATGCAACGAGTGAACAAAAAAACCGCATTCACTTGTTTCATTTTTTTACTATTTGTTTCTCTGTTCATGCAAAATGTGACAAACGAAGTGGAGTGCCCCATTCGTTGGTCATTTCGTGTCGACTAGCGAACACATCATGTGAATATTTTTTTGTTTTTTTTTTTTTATGAAACAAAACTATACAGCAACAAGTATGGCAAAATGGGGTAAAAGTCCGCAAGCACGAACAGAAGCGGCTACCTTGCCTTTGCGTTACATTCGCCGCACTTCCCCATGGGTTCTTTCCGTATCACCCTCGGCTACACCTCTATCTTAAAATCGTTACTAATTTTTATAATTCCCTTTTGAGAACTTATACCGTTGCTACGTGTGATAGAAGTGCAAAACAAATTTAAAAAAAAAAAAAAAAAGAGCCACGAATGGCGCAAATTTTAAAAGAGGCAAACACAAACGCAGAGCAAACGCATGAATAAGCTTGTTGTCAAACACATGCTCAAAAAGGGGCCGTTCGACGGCGCTTCTACTTGAGGAGGCAACAGCTATATCAGCTGTCAGCACGTAGGGCCATATGAAGATGCCCCTACATACGCACAAAAAAAAAAAACAAAAAGGGGGTGTGAAGAGGGTAGGGGTTCAATTTGGGATTCAAATTCAGCTGAATCATAGGGAAAATGGGACGAAGTGCTGATCGCGATGCCATTAAAGACATCGTCCAAATGGGGAGATCTAGGAACTGCCTTGACTTGCTACATGTACATTTTATTTCTCTCCACAGCCCTACGGCGGACAGCTCCCATGTGCACCGACTACCCCAGGTAAAATGGGTCCACCTGCCAGTAGCCACCCTTGTACAAGATAAACCCCTCGTTGTTCACTGCAAAAGGGGAGAAAAAAACGCAAATGTGTATGAGCACATAAATGGAAGTCTCCATGTGGTGAGATATAAGGAGTGGGGAAGAAGCCACGTGCTCTACTTCGGCCCCAACAGTGGTATTCCCCTCCTCCCTGACAACAATGGTCACGTGTATGCCCTGGAGAATTCCACCATCGCTTGGACACATGCTTCACCACTTTTGCTTAAACGAAAGGGAGGCAGCAGTAAGAACCTACAGAAGTGAATTAACGCTTCGTCCGAGATGTACGACTCCGCTGCCTGGATGACCGACTTGGCTAGGTTACGCAGGTCCTACAAAAAAGAAAGCAAAAAAAAATAATAACAATAATAAAATTGCACACAACACTGTATCATGCTTAGGGAGGAGTGAAAAGTGGAGTGGGGGGACGGGATACAGCTAACTACGACAAGACCTCCTGAGCAGAGACCACGTAGAGTACTCCGCGCCACTGCCAACTGACCTTGTTGAAAATTTTATTTTTTCCATTCCTGACGAGCTGAATGATGCTCTCCTTGAATACGCTCGAAAGGGCGCCGACCGATTTCCCCCTCTTCGCCTTTTTGACCGGTTTTTCTCTAAAATTGAGGGTTTTCACGTAGGAAGGGTAGAAAATGGTTTTCTGGTAAATTTCGATGACCTCCTTCGCATGGTACAGAGTTACTACGTTGGAAAGATCTCCTCTTGCCCTGGCTTGGCACAGGCGAATTAAAGATTCGAGCTGCCTTATGGTGATGGGGGAGCTTACATAATTCTGTGACATAGAAAGACTTCGTAAATGTAGGTAGAATTTTCTTATGTACTTTTTAGCTTCATCAGATAGGATGGGAAAAATACATTTCCTACAATACTTTATAAAGGCTCCGAGGAGCTCCACGGGTAGGTAACTACGTTCATTGATTTGTTTACACTTGTTCATGAGGTCATTTTTAGGGGAGAAAATATCTTCATCTTCGCAATCGCTTTCATCACTGTCATTGCTGCCATGATCACCTGGATAGTCTTCATTGTGAATACCTTTCTCTTCCACCCCCCATGGGTCCCTCTCCCCATCCTTTTTTCTTTTTTTTTTTTTCTTTTTCCCTTCCCTATCATAGTTGGAATTAATGAGGTAATTAGAAATTTGGTAATCTTTCTCCTCCGACATTTTATCTGTTAATAAGAAGACTAGATCGAATCGTGTTAACAAGGGGAAGGGGATTTTAATATTTTCAAATATTGTTTTATTATAATTGTATTTTCCTTCCTTTGGGTTGGATGCCGCGATAATGGAACACCTTGTCTTAAGATTACACACAATCCCCGCTTTGCTTATGTTAATGCACTGACTTTCCATACACTCCAGGAATGACTGTTGATCGGTTAGAGAAATTTTGTCCAACTCATCGATGCAGCATATACCTTTGTCTGATAGAACTAGTGCACCTCCTTCCAGGGAGTACTCATTGTTTGTGGCATCCTTTAATGCACATGCAGTTAAGCCGTTAATGCTGGTCGAGGTGCTACAAATGAATAAGCTCTTTTCGATAATGTTACTTACGTATTGAAGGAGTCTACTTTTTCCTAACCCTGGATCTCCTATCAGTAGGTTGTGTATGTTTCCTCTTCTTTTTATTTGCTTGTACTCATCATATATCGTTTTTCCTCCGAGGAGACTGAGCAGAATGCCTGCCTTTATATAACTACTCATTATTATACGTGGACAGAGTGAAGCTACGAGGAGGTAAAACTTGTTCTTTCCATACTTGTGCATGTCTTCTATGAATTCCAGGACCTTTGCGTCGAATTGCTTCGTCTTGTTGAAATGGCGGTCATCGTTTGGGTCCTCCTGATGCGTTGGCTTCCCCGACTGGGTTGTCTTCTCCATTTGCGTTGTCTGCCACATTTGGCTTGTTCCATTTGAGTGAGTTGGCCAGCCAAGTTTTCCCATCTCTCCCTCTGCGCCGTAGTCTCCTTGCCCACTTCTCCTCTTCCTGCCACCCCCCAAGGTTTCCTCATCGATGTAATCCCCGTACATGCACAGCTCGTCGTCATCAAACTGGATGTCATTCAATCTTGCGGAGGCTTCTCTACTAATGAGGCCTTCCCCGGTGTTTCTTCTCTTCTGCCCATTGGAAGTGGAAACATTTTCTACTGAGTCACGACATCGGGGCAGCCCATTTTGGCTGTCCCCCGAAGTGGTAGTTACATCATGGCTTAGCATTTCACCAATACCATCACAAATTAGAGCCTCATAGGAATCCATGTCGATGGAGTTATTCATGGTGCTTGCGTCAAAGGAGACGTTCGTTTTGGCCTTAATATCTACTTCGCTAGTGGCGTCATAATTGGCCCCTCCCCCTACGGGCCTATATGCTTGAATACAAATTGGTGCTGCGTTGTTCTCAATTTGGGTTAGACTTCTGAGGTGGGTTTCATTTGGGGCGTCTCCAATGGAGGGTGCCTTCCCTCTTCTACCCATATCATCTCCCTCCTTTTCCCTGTCCAGCTTATCCCCATTTGCCCCTTCCCCATCCCAACAATAGAGGAGCATTTTTTTCTCAAATTTGTCAATGTAGGATTCCCAGAGCATAGAATTGTACAGCTTGTTTTTTGTACGCTTGATTTTCTCCAAGTTGAAGGAGCTGTTGTTCAGGTACTTTTTAGAAGACAAGGGGAAAATAGAAAGGCAATCTACGTACATATTATATATAGAATTTTTTCCATTAATGACATAATTGTTACTGTAAGAAATGACCTTGAGGATCCCTACGATTTCCACATAGTTTCCTGGAACACAAGTGTTTATAAAAAATTTAGAAACTTCCAAAGTGGCTGTCAGATTTTTCACATTGGAATCTTCCATTTGTTCATTCATGCTATTTAAAATTTTTTTATTTTCCTTCAAAATAATTCTTTGGTATTCTATCGACTTGGCTGATTCTCTAATTGGGTGGAAGTAGAAACTATCACAATTCGCCTTTGTACATTTTTTTGGGGAGTCATATTTACCGTCTGTGAATTCTACCTGGATGATGCTTTTGCATTTCTCGCACATAAAATCAAGTCTTGTGATTAGCAGTTGTATCGGGGATACTCTTAACACGCTTCCTCGGAGACATATAAGTTGATTGACTTTTTCACTTTTCAGGTCCTCAAATTTATTTAGCTTGTTCCAGTTGTATATATAGATCGTGATTCTGTTTGTTAGGAAGTAGGACTTGAACAAGTCGGATTCCTTGTAGCGGTCACACTTGAGTTCGTTGATTAATGGGTCGTCATTTTCAAAGTCGCTGATTTCGTCCCGTCTGATGAAAGGGTTCCTCAGGGAAGAGGAGCGGATACCTGGGCGGCCGCCACCTATCATATGCTTTCCAGAGCCACGCATCTGAGCGTCAACTAGCGGCTTGTCCTTCTGGATGTTACTCGGACTGGGGCCACTAGTGCTGCACCCATCACCCGTCCTCGCGACGTCTAACCTGATACCCTTACTCACCTCTTGAGGAACCTCCTCCGTACTGTCCTCCTCTATGTGTAGCATCTTACACAAGAGCAAGTGCAAAGCCAACTTCATGAACTTCAAAACGATTTCCGGATTCTTCTTCAGCTCATGTAAGTACACTTCATTGTTCGGAGGGGCATTTCTGTTTATCAATTTTTTATTGTCCAGGAAGAATTCCAAGTTCAGGACTATTTCCTTGTCCACGTTAAACAGGCTGTTCCAGTTGTTCTTGAAGAAGGTCACCCAACTTAGAATCAGCGTTTTGACCTCGTCTGAGGGGGGTATGTGTGTGGGGGGGGGGGGGGCAATTCGGGGGTGTATTGGATTCATATGCACAGGTGTTGGTATCTAATGCACACGTCGCGTACCGCCCTTGTCTTACCATTCAGCTCGGACTGGTTAAAGTAAAGGTGCACAAGGGTGTCCATTTTGTCCTCGTCCAATGTGGTGATCAGGTTTGCTTAATTTTTTTTTTTTTTTCCCCCTTCCTTTTTGCCCCTTTCATCTGATAAGATCAGTCCTTCCTGCCGAAGAGACGAATCTGCGTGGGGAACGTTACACACATGCAGCTGGAAAGCAGTCCATCTTTCACCATCAGCGTGAATTGTACGCTTTGATCATACACGAGAAAAAAATATATAAATAAACACTTTATAAAAAATATGCACTTGAGAGGGTGCAGCGAAAATTTTGGCTTGTTCAGTTTTTCATGTGTACGTACAAGGGGTAGGGCGTGGTGTGGTGTACCGTGTGCGCCTTCTGTTTTCATATGAGATAAAAAAAAAATAAGAAAATGGTATGTGGTTCTCACTGTACGACTGTGCATATGTAATTTGCAAAGTTACATGTGCATATGTGTACGGCGTATGTGCACCTCGTTCCCAAATGAACTGCTGGCTCTGGGCTCGGTGTACAATTTCGAGTGTGCCCCAATAGCATAACATATGCATGCACAAACATATGTTTCCCTTTACATGCAGATGGCTTTTTATCTTTTTTCCTTTTGTCCGCACCTTTACTCGTACATACAAAAGGGGCGATCTTTTTAAAATACTTTTTTTTTATATACATTTTTGTAGTCACCACCAAGGGAGAGACAACCCTCCACCACATGGGATGGGTTCACAACTCCCCCTCACGCAGAGAAAAGCGAATTATTGAATGGTTCACCTAGATGAATAATGTAAAAGTGGAGGAGACTGCCCACCACATTGTGTGCACTACAGATATGTATGATAACCTTTTGGGGAATATTCCGCACAGGATACAAAAAAAAAAAAAAAAAGAACGCAGCATGTTAGAATGTTTCTTTGTTTTCCCACTGAGGGAATTGTTGTTCTGCTCGGCTCGCAGGGGTGCAGAAGGAGGTGGTGTGAAGATGGGTAGGGAGAACTTCATAAGGGAAGATATTTGCGCGGTCGCTAAATGGTTCAGCATCCGGTGGAAAAGTTACTCTTCGGTGAACACTTGTAGGGCTACTCAGCGTGATTACGTCCCCCGCGTGTGCCATTTTTTTTAAAACCTACTTTTTTCTCTCTGCACCCATTGGGCATCGCCCCCAAATGGAAATGTGCTCGAATGGACTGCCAGTTTGTTACACCCCCCAGCAATTCTCCATTTGGGTGTTCCATATGAAAAGTACTTTCTACCTTTGCGAGTCAAGTTGGGGAAACAAACCAAAGGGATGAAACATCTCCCTGGACCTTTTACAACTGTGGAGTGTCCCTCTTTTTTTTTTTTTTATTTCATTGTTCAAATGATGGTAGGCGAAAAAAACAGCTTTGGACGAACATCGTACCGTGAGAGCGATTGAGCATTTACAAAAATTATAATCCCACATGTGCACGTGTAGTGTCCTCAACAATTCCCTTAGCAGGGTGAAATTGATGAGGTGAGGACGCGAGAGCATGTATGAACGTAACAACATGGGAACGGGCATACAATGCATACCTTATACATGCCACCTATTTGGTCCGTTTTTCCCTTTTTCTCCTTTTTCCTTTTTTCCGTTTTTTTTTTTTTTGGTGTGGGCAAATGTTCGCACGTATGACGAAGGCATAGGTATTATCACCTTTTCGCGTGTTCGCATTGGAGTACACTTGTTCATGTTGCCCCGTCCGCATGCAGAGAAATGCAGCACACTTGCCACATGGTGCTGCCGCGGTCATGTCGTGCGTCACAAGAGAGCACCGCGCTCACGAGTACGCGTACACATTAGCGCATGCCCGGAACTGTGTACAAATGAGTACATGCATACGCCTACGTACAGGTATATACGTACGCATATGTGCAGTGTACACATATATATGTACACGCGGAGGGGAAATGAAATCGGCCAGGCAACAGCGCCCTTCGCACCATCATATATATACATTATTCTTGCGCAGCGTGAAGGTCCCTCACGGAGGATACCACGTGCTGAAAAGTATATATACCCACGTCCAGCACTTGGCAAAATGTTCTTAACCCCCTTGCGCTCACTTTGCTTTTTTTTTGACCCAGCTAAATGTCATTTACCATATTCCATTTTGTCCCCAACTGGTAAAAATACATGGTCAGTCCATTTACCATTTTGAAAATTATAAAAAAAAAAAAAATCCTTTCAGTGAGAACGTGTTGGGGCACTGTATTTTTTTTTTTTTCATTTTGTTTGCTTTACTTTTATATATGCGCATTTAAATTTATTTTAAAAAAAAAAAAAAAAAAAAAAAAAAAAAAAAAACGGGAAAGCCAAGTTTATGCGAAGCCACGTGAAAGAGAAGAACAATTGAAGCGAAATAATTTAAGCGAACTGTCATACGAGGGGCCGTACGAATAATTAACGGTTTTGTTAAATCCTTCGCATGGAAAAAAAAAACAAGAGAGAAAATAAAAAATAAAAAAATGCGCAGATGGAACATATTGTTTTCCATATACTAAAAAAAAATACATGCGAAAAGAAGCTTAGCCCATTCCACCCCCAATACGAAAAGATAATTATACTTTTTATATAACCTGCAAGAGGAACCACTGGGAGATTATTTCTTTTTTTTTTTTCTTTTTTTTTTTTTTTTTTTACATCCTCAAATTTTGCGAAAGGGAAGGCTTGGTCTTCCATGCGAAGATGTCAAAGCGGGTGAATTACTATGACGTTCTAGGGGTTCCTCAAGATGCCGACTTAAGCATAATAAAGAAATCGTATAGGACCTTGGCCATGAAGTGGCACCCTGGTAAGACCACTCGATGTTGTGGGCAATGCTCTCTGCGGGACGCCTTCTTTGCGCGACGTCATTCGTGTGCATGTCGAGCGTACCTCCGTCTGAACTTCCTGAGGCCGGGAAGTGTTCACCTGTTGTTTGCTGCTCCTCCCGTCCGTTTTTCCCTTTTTTGCGCTCACCATGATATACCAGCATTTGGGTGGAAGGTGTGCACATGTGAGTTGTTCCCTTGTATGCCTACCTGGGATGCTCACACCGCTTATACCACAACAGTGAAAAATGCAGCCCCCTTCCAAAGGTACTCATAATGAACTAGCCGCTAAACCAATAAATATGTTTTTTTTTTTTTTTTTTTTTTTTTTTCTAGACAAGAACCCAAATAATAAGGCCGAGGCGACGGAGAAGTTCAAGCAGATTTCGGAAGCCTACGAAGTTTTGTCTGACCCCAAGAGAAGGAGAAAATATGACCGTAAGGAAATTGAGAGTTGCAAAAAAAAAAATGCTCATGCATAATGTGACATGTTCTTTTTTTCGTATTAACAGAAGGAGTTCACATGCTTGGCCGTGTCTCCGGTTCACATGTTTTTTCCCACTTAACATTTCTTACATTCCTTTGTATCCCTCCCCCTTGCAGTATACGGAACGGATGAGAATTACATGCCAGACGAGAATGACGAGTTTTCTAACTTCCACAAGAATTTCGGTTTCAATGATGCTCAGAGGATATTTGAAATGTTCTTTGGAGATTCCACTCCCTTTGGAAATGATTCCTTTTTTAGTGAAGTCATGGGTTCCTCCTTTGGCGACACTCGAAGAGGAAGAATGGCAAGGTCCAATGACCCCTTCGATAATTTCTTCGGATCATCCTTTAACATCTCCTTTGGCTCATCCAACTTTGATAGTAAGTGCGCGTGACGGAGCGGCCCCAGCTCATCCCACAAAATAGGCCAAAAAAAAAAAAAATAACACAAAGAACAATGCGAGATATAGACAACGAAATTCTTACTCCAATGTATCTCCCCCCATTTATGTATGCATAACCGATTGCTCATTTTTTTTTTTCTGTCCCCGCAGACTTCATGGATGGAGGCTCCACCTTCACGTCCGTAGAAACCTCAACGTCAAACGGAGGCAAATTTAAAAACCGATTTGTAAAAACGTCCACGTCCAAGACGACCTCTATTGTTAACGGAAAACGAGTCACAAGAATCGAGACAGTGAAGACGTTGCCCAACGGAACCGTTGAGAGGACGGTGACCGAGCGTGAAGAAGACGGCAGAGGGAACGTGAACGTCAGACAGCTACCAGCGCACGAAATGAGACGAAACAAAAGATGAAAGTTCCATTCACCCCCTGAAGGGAACATATGAAGGGGGAAAAAAAAAAAAAAATTAAAAAAATAAAAAAAATAATAAAATAAAAAACAGAAAAATGGCAAAACCTTTCCATGACGTCAACTACCCATCCCTTTCATGCGCACACGGGACTTGTCATACCTGCGCGAATGATCTCTTGACGCTGGTTGATCCGCCGTACGTGTTATATAATTAACATCATGTGGATGCGAATAGAATCCGAGGGGGGGGATACTCATGAGTAAATGCGCGCACGCGCAAATGCACGACTCCTTTTTGATGCAGCAAAGGTGAGCCCGCGCCGGCCCCATCCGTTCTAATTCCGCAGAAGCATTATGTTACCCGGAAATAAAATTATCAGAGACGGCCTACCCATAATTAGCCACGTGTCCAAATTACACATCAAAGCTCCTTTTCCGAAATGCTATACCTACTACTCTAAATTTGAAAAAAAAAAAAAAAAGAATAAAAAAAAACACAGTAAAGAAGAGCGCGCTAATGTTTTTACATGTTGATTTATTATACATCACGCATTGCACATTTTTTAGCGATCACTTTTCTTTCCTTCCTTTTTTTTTTT